AAAAAAAAAAAAAAAAAAGGATAAAAAAAAACCTACTAATAGTTGATGAACTTACATACAAATGTTATAATTATCAAGAGCTAAACAGTTTGAAAATGTTGTGGTTGTAAAAAAAATAAAAAAAATAAAAAATAAAACTGATGAAGTAAAATACTAATAATTTCATGATGACTATTTATATATAATCCTTGATATTGTTATTACCTACTAATTATGAGAATTAATATTTTTAAAATCATGTTTTGATTTTTTGTTTTTTCATTATTACTGCATCTAGAGAAGAGTCTAAAAAGTTTTGTATTAATGGATTATATATATATATATATTTTTTTATTTGATCTAAAAAATGGACTGTAATTCCATTTGTCTATACAAAAATTGACTGAGAAAGTTTCCCAATCATTTATTTGTGTCATTGTATCATGTAGCTTCATATTTGATTTGTGATAAGAAGATGATTGTTGCATATCGTTTTTCCAATCATTTATTTGTGTCGCCGTATCGTTGTTTTTTTATGTCGACTCTTGACTTGTAGCCATTTCGTCAGAAGTTTAAAACTTTCATTTTTAATAATGAAATACCAATAATCTGCAACACATGAAAACAAAACACAAATTGTTTGACATTAATTTGACTTAAAAAAAGACGGCAGCCTTAGGGCTGCGAGTTCCGAGCCTCCAGCTGGCCCTTTTCTTAGTGTCCTACGCAGGATACTATCGGCCCAGGCCTGAAGCGGTGTGCTCTTACCGGCGCTCTTACCTCTTTACCAGCACTCGTACCTTCTACAACAACACTATGCGCCCGACTTAGCTTCGGGTCGAACTGGCCTGTAACTTCATTGTGACCATCTGTTTTGAACCTATTCGAACACACGTTCTGTTAACTTCCGTTAACTACCGTTAACTACAGGTTACATGCGTGCAGGACTGAGCCCGTGAGCCACGTAGGATGGTTCCGAGTCCAGTTTTTGACAGTGGCAATTTCGTCACTCACGGTGCGGCGCGGCGCGGCGCGGCAAGTGCGTCAGTTTACCTTTCCACCACTCCGCGGCGGGTTCTCTTCGGTTCTGGCGGGTTCTTTTCTGTTTTTTTCGCATTGCGGGTCGCGCCTGTTTCTGCGACCTGCCACTGCTTCGATTCTGTCGTGGGCGTAGGCGGGAGAACTGCACAGCCAGCGGTAGTGCCTGGTTCTCATCTGCCCCGTTGTTCCAGTTAGTCCCCGTCAGCGGGATGAGCGCTCGCTCGCCACCGCTGTCGGCTTGTCTTTTGTTGCCTTCCCCTCCGCTTGCTGGGGCACGTGGCTAGTCATCCTACGGGTAAGTTGCTTTTTGTTTTCTTTTCTCTTGGGTGTATTTTTTCCCTTCATCACCTTCTCCATCCCTCCTCCCTCCTCCCTCCTCCCTCCTCCTCTACCTGTTCTCCTCGATCCTCCTTCGCCTCCTTCCTCTTCCTTGTCTCGTCTCCATCATTGATTTCTCTCGTTCGCTTTTTTCTCCTCTTTTTCCTTCTCTCCTGTGTCCAACTTCCTTGCCTTCTCTTCCGTTCTCTCCTCGATGATCTTTCTCTATTGGATACAAGGGCAATGGCGGAAATTAGGGGACGGAAAAAAAAAAAGAAAAAGAAATTAGCGGACGAAGAGGGATGGTAATGATGGATGGAGCAATACGAAGAGTCTGACGAGATATGGAGAGGAGGAGGTTGGGAGGGAGAGTGCAGCAGAAGCAAGGAGAAGACACGAACAGAAAATGCGAGCACAGCAGGATGATACTTTAATAAGGCAGTAAGATGAAAAGCGGGAGCAGGAGAGAATCGTCTACCTGTAAGTGTTTGATTACTTAGGCTTTCTGTAAGGTGTTGATTTCTGCTTGCAGTCTAGGTAGTTGTATTTGTGATGTTCCGTGTTTAAGAGACGAGGGGAGAGGTCGGTGATAGGAGTGGGCTTGGGTTGAGGGGGTAGACGGTGGTTAGGGGGGGGGGAGCGCAGGCAGGATATACATATCCAACTGTGGTGCCCAGTTCTATTACCGTCCTATCAAATTGAATGACCCGTGGCCGTAGCCGTCCTCTTTGACTGCGTGTCCTCTTCCTCATCCATCCATTGTCGTCTCCCTGCACAGCTCCTGGAGGGCCTGCCTGCTTCACACCCTTCATTACTTATCTTCACCTACGACCCCTCTTGCACCTCCTCCTCATCACGTCCGCGGTACCTGCCTCACTATCTCCCTGCTTTTCTACCTCCCTCCCTCCCTGCCTCACTACCTCCCTGCGTTTCTAGCTCCCTGCCTTATCCTTCAGTTTCTCCGGCAAGTGTTCAATTATAATGATGGGCAAGCTTCCACCTTATTCATTGTCTGGTCTTCTTTCTCGCCATTGTCGACGTCATCGTTATCCTTCCCGCGGTCGTCCTCTTTTCTCCTCTTTCTCCTGTCGTGAGGGTCCCCCCAGCCCTTCCTCAACCGCTCGTTACTCCCATCCACGTGCGTTTGTCGCCTTCCTTCTCCTCTTTGTCGTCCTTTTCTTCTCCTCTCCTCTTTGTCGTCCTTCTCTTCTCCTCTCCTCTCCTCCTATCCCTTTTCTTTCCTCGTTGCTTTATCCTCCTCTACGATCTTGGTCTGGGAGTAGCGGCTCGGTGTCGGAAAAGTGCTCGGGCGATGATGATGATGATGATGACGATGATGAGATGATGATGATGACGATGATGAGATGATGATGATGATGATGATGATGATGATGATGATGATGATGATGATGGGATGACATATGGGGAGGAACAACTACGGAGGGCGGGAAAGGAGGGAGAAGATGTGATGAAAGGCGTAGGAGGAACCGAGGATAGGAGAGAGAAACGTGAGAAAGGTAGGGGGTGGAGGAGCGGTTGCCGATGGTGAGGAGGTGGTGATGTCAGAGAGGGATGGCGGGAGAAACGAGACTTATAGATGGTGACTTATCTGATGCGGGCGCAGTTGGTGATGGTTAGGACGTAGTCATGTGAGAGAGGAATGGCAGGAGGAGAGAGAAAGGTGAGAAAGGGTAGGGGGGTGGAGGGGCAGTCGTTGATGGTGATGAGGTAGGGATTTGGGAGAGGAATGGCTGTGGAGGGGAGATTTACAGACGATGATTTCTCTGGCGGGGGAGCAGTCGATGGTGAGGAGGTAGTGATATGAAAGAGGATTGGCGAGGCAAGCGAGATTTGGAAGACGACGACTTCTCTGGGCAGTGATCGGAAATGGAGGACCGTATTTTCGCTTCTGAGGAGATGCAAAGCGGGTCATGCGGTAAAGCTCTACTCTTGCCCCTCCTTTCTTCTCTCCCCTCTGCCTAATCGGAAACTGCCCCTGCGGAGGGAGAGAGAGAGGGGAGAGGGGGGGGGGAAGGGAAGGGCCGTGTTTTCGCGTCTAAGGAGATGCAAAGCGGGACATGTGGTAAAGCTCTAGTCTTGTTCCTTCTTCTCTCCCCTCTGCCTAATCGGGAACTGCCCTTCGTGGTGGTGGGGTGGGTGGGTGGGAGATGGGAGGGGAGGAAAGAGGGTGGGTTGGAGAATCGTGTGCTTGAGGCAGGGATATGTTATCTGCTATTCGCTTAATCATCGATATAGAGGCTTTCCTAAGCATAGATATTGCTATAAATTACCTTCAATTCCCTTAGCAATAGATATTGCAGATAAATACTGCTGTTTCATATTGCTATTGAAGACCATGTCTCGCTCTACCTCCCCTCGCCGCGCAGGAAGTACTATTTTTGACAGGCAGATCTAATTCTCTCTCTCTCTCTCTCTCTCTCTCTCTCTCTCTCTCTCTCTCTCTCTCTCTCTCTCTCTCTCTGCGCCCCTGAGAGCGTGTGGCACTGTTTCATGGCGTTTGTCCAGCGCTGTGAGTGTCATCCTTAGACAGTGGCCAGACTAATCGTCTCCTTCACCGAAGGGCTCTTTGCCTCGTTTTACTTGCCCCGATTCTCCTCTCTCTCTCTCTCTCCCCTTTTTTTTCTCTTCTCTTAATGATCCTGGACGTCTTTTTCTGGATTGGTGGCAGAATCCAGACAATTCTCCGTCGGGCGGGTGCAACGGATCGAGAAACGAAACGAAATCCTGCTCTGCTGTATATGCCCTGTTCCTGGCAAGTAGGAAACTGGGTTCCGATCCCGGCCTGCAAGTAGAGATCCCGTTCGTCCTGGTTGATCCGACAATGACTGAAGTGCATCCTATGTTCCATGGGCCCTGCGTCTTGGTGCAGGGGGTTAGCGTTATGGTTCCAGGGATGGAACCAGGTCTCAGGTGTGGATACGCACGCCAGAACTCTGATGATAAGGGGTATTTGACGTCAATGAAGGCCAGATTCAGTCCTGAACGTTGTGTTATTATGGCTGGCACTCAGTATCATCATATACCGCGTGGCATGGCCTGCAAGGCCAGTGGTTCTGCAGATTGCGCGACCGAACTGTTGTCCGATCTACAGATATATATCGTGACAATATATATCGTCAAATAGAACTTCTCGGTAAACGAGGGAGAAGAAGACAACAAAAAAGAAGGGGCTGTGACAGACTTTCGTCGGAGTTTCACCGACTCCTCAGGAGGCTGAACCCTCATATATATAGGGGATTCTGCAGAGTGTTGCGGGTTCAGCCTCCTGAGGAGTTGGCGAAAGTCCGACGAAACAGTTTGTCACATCCCCTCGTTTGTTGTTCTCTTTTCTCTTCTCCCTCTCTGCTTAAGGTTTACTGGGCAGTTCTGTTTGACGATATATATATGTATATATCGTGTTTTATAATGTATGTGTATGTATATATAATATATAATATATATGTATATCGTCAAACGGAACTGCCCAGTAATATCGTCAAACAGAACTGCCCGGTAAACCTTAGGCAGAGAGAGAGAAGAGGACAACAAACGAGGGAGGGGCTGTGACAAACTGTTTCGTCGGAGTTTCACCTACCGACTCATCAGGAGGCTGAACCCTCATATATATATACATGTATGGTGGAAGGGACTGCTGCTGCAGCTGTGGAGCCGTGCTGTCCTTTGATTCCATCGGATTACAATCCAACTGCCCGTATTCACGTTCGATTGATTGACAAGAACAGCCGGCGCAATCAACCGGCGCCTTCCGAGGTGATGAGAAGTATAAGAGGCACGTCAATAAAAAAAAACAAAGCCAAAAAAAATGTTGAAAAATGTTAAAGAACAACAAAACAAAGAAAAGAACGACATCCTTCTGGGGAAGGGGGAAGAGTACTTCCATTCCGTTCTAGTTTGTTTGAGCGACGTGGAGAAAAAAAAGGAGTACTAGAAGCAGTGTGAGATGCATGCATGCATGCATGCTGCTGCTGCATGCTATGCGCTCTTTTGATTTTGACGACGTTCTACAGAGGTCGGGTCCAGACAGTTGTACAGGGGTCGGGTCGGAAGAATTGTACAGAGGTCGGGTCGGGACAGTTGTACAGAGGTCGGGTCGGGAACAGTTGTACAGAGGTCGGGTCGGGACAGTTGTACAGAGGTCGGGTCGGGAGAGTTGTACAGATTGGAACGGTTCAGAGAAGAATAGGATAGCCACCTGCTCGAGGATGACAAGCAAGCAGGAATCGAGAAGTGCTCGACATTTCCAAGGAGCCTACACACTTGAACCTGTACTTTTTCATTGGAATCTGGCCGTAATGGCGCTTGAATACATCCCAGAATTCCCCCCAAAATCCCTGGTCTGAGAATCGCCTCAGTCTCAATTTTGTTTAACCCAGTGAACAGAAAATGGGATGCTTCATACAGCTTTTACTTCAATTGAAGTGAACGTACGTAATTTTGAGTCATAGATTGCAATTGATTAGTATTCCGTCACACCATTTTGAACGCAATTGATTAGCAATTGAAGTGAACGTACTATTTATCATTCCATCACACCATTTTGATGCTCCAGACACACTTGAACACAAATAAACTATACTTGTGTTGAAACATTGGTGGAAAGATGGAAACAAATACAAAACCAGAATTAAAGGCTGATTGAACGACTTCCACCTCTCCCCTACCTCTCCCCTACCTCTCCCCTACCTCTCCCCTACTTCTCCCCTACCTCTCCCCTACTTCTCCCCTACCTCTCCCACCTTTCCCATGTGTCCCGACCTCTCCCCACGCTTGCCGACCTCTCCGGACGTCTCCCGACCTCTCCCCACGTCTCCTCACCTTTCCCCACCTGTCCCCTCCTGTCCCCTCCTGTCCCCTCCTGTCCCCACCTGTCCCCACCTGTCCCGACCGAAGAGATTGGAAGCTTCATACAGCTTTTAATGTAACAAGTGGACCCAGCGCGGCGAAGCCGCGCCCCAGTCCCGTCTAAATACGGCAGGAAGCGTGGCAATGTCGGTGTGTGTGTGTGTGTGTGTGTGTGTGTGTGTGTGTGTGTGTGTGTGTAGGATGAGAAAAATCGGAATGAATCTTCAGCCAGAACATGGAAATATACACTGCCTCACTTTTTTTTTCATTCTTTTCCCCTTCATGTGTGCATCAACTGAGCAGCCTGGCAATGTGCAAAATGAGAAGGAATCTTCCGCAAGAACATAGGAAGATACACCGCGGCGGACAGATACATTGAAAAGAAATCCCGGTGTGAGTATGGACTAAGGAGCTGTCGGATGCAGATGCCCCCCACACAGAGAGAGAGAGAGAGAGAGAGAGAGAGAGAGAGAGAGAGAGAGAGAGAGAGAGAGAGAGAGAGAGAGAGNAGAGAGAGAGAGAGAGAGAGAGAGAGAGAGAGAGAGAGAGAGAGAGAGAGAGAGAGATTTCCATGCATAGGATGAGCAAAATGGGAATGAATCTGTCGCTATAACATGGAAATATACAATGCCACATTTTCGGTTTTTGGCAGTGTATATCTCCATGTTGTGGCAGTGGATACTTCCATGTTCTAGGGAACACACACACACACACACACACACCCCAAAAAATAAAAAAGAAAAATAAAGAAGTGTGGAAGTGAATCTCATTTTGCTCATTTGGTGAAGCGTGGCAATGTGGGTCTGTGTGTGTGTGTGTGTGTGTGTGTGTGTGTAAGATGAGCAAATCCGGAATGAACCTTCAGCCAGAACATGCAAATATACACTGCCACACTCTTTTTTTCTTCTTTTTTTTTTGGTGTGTGTGTGTGTGTGTGTCTTCCCCTGGAACATGGAAGTATCCATTGCCACAACATGGAAATATACACTGCAAAAAGACCGAAATTGTGGCAGTGTATATTTCCATGTTATAGCGACAGATTCATTCCCATTTTGCTCATCCTATGGATGGAAGAGAGAGAGAGAGAGAGTGAGAGAGAGAGAGAGAGAGGAGAGAACAGGTAAGTCTCCGACCTCGCGGCTGACCTCATGGTACTTCCATCAATAGGTTGAGCAAAATCGAATGAATATACCGCTGGAACATGTAAATATACACTGCCACGTGTGTGTGTGTGTGTGTGTGTGTGTGTGTGTGTGTGTGTGTGTGTGTGTGTGTGTGTATTCGGACAACAACGTGCCATGGTGGAAAAACTTTCGACATTGAAAGGTCTTACCCCACTTCTCCCCAACCTCTCCCACCTCTCCCATCTCTCTCGACTTCCCCCGACTTCTCCCCCACCTCTCCCCCACCTCTCCCTCACCTCTCCCATCTCTTCCATATGTCCCGACCTGTCCCCGCGTCTCCCCACCTGTCCCCACGTCTCCCCACCTGTCCCCGCGTCTTCCCACCTGTCCCCACGTCTCCCCAGTTGTCCCCACGTCTCCCCACCTGTCCCACCTATCTCCACGTCCCCGCCCTTGTCCGCCCTAAAAAGGAGCTATTGGTCCTGATAGCGTAAACGACAGTGGATGGATCGGGGGAGGGAAAAAAACGGTGGATGGATAAATCTGCTGACATTGATGTTTTCTTTATTTGGAATGGAATGCGGTTGCTTGTGTATGAAGGAAGGAGGGGCGAGAGGGAGGGTGGCTGTGTGGACGGAGTAGGCGCTACGGGTGCTATCTGTTTCCAGTTGAAAAGGGGGAGAGGAGAGAGCGGAAGAAGGGTTGGGGGAAGGGCGCAAAGGGTTTTGCGGTCGGGGTTACAGAAACAGGAGAAGGTCGGGAAGGAAAAGTAGCAAAGAACGCAAGAAAGGTGGGGTAAGAGTGCGGGAGGGGTTTTGGGGTCGGGATTAGGGGTACAGAAGGAGGAGCGGGAGTGGAGAAAACGCGGGAAAAGATGGAAGCCAAGCTAGCAGCGGCGGGAAAGCTGTTCACAGACTTCAAGGCTGCTTATGTCAGAAATGATAACGCGCGATGCAGTCAGCTCCTGGCGCAGCTGAAGGTACGAGTATGACAATGCTTTTCGTTGTTTCTTTCCTCAATGAATATGCCTGTCTTCACTCCCTGTCCATAGTCGATATGCTCTTTCTGTTAAAAGCCAGCAAGTATTAAAAAAAAAAAAGCAGTGAATATGGAAAGAAAAAAGAGTCTACATGCTTTTTTCTTCTCTCTGGAAAGATCGTGTTATTGCGTGCCGATTTTATCATAGGTTAGGTTGCGAATTGGGTGTAATGGGTATGTGGGTAGAGAGAGGGGTATCAGTAAAAAATGCGTAGAGAGGGAGGTATCAGTAAAAAATGCGTAGAGAGAGGGGTATTAGTAAAAAATGCGTAGAGAGAGGGGTATCAGTAAAAATGCGTAGAGAGTAAAAAATGCGTAGAGAGAGGGGTATCAGTAAAAAAATGCGTAGAGAGAGGGGTATCAATTCAAGCTGTGCCCCTCTTCCTCCTTCCTCTCCTCTCGTCCACCTTTTCTTCCTCCCCCTCCTCTGCTTCCCCTTCTTCCTCCCCCTCCTCTGCTTCCCCTTTCCATCCGAAACAGCTTGAATGCAAGGTGAGGCTGTGAGGCAGGAGCATGCGATATTACAACCAGGAGGTGGGCTTGGAAGCAGCCATCCTTTGAAGAAAGCGTAGTAGCTCACTGGTCTAGCTTCATCACGCCGAAAACGAATCGGGGCTCACGAAGTGCTTCACCGAATCGACGAGACCAAACAAAATCAATGTTGCAAACGCCTCTCCAGGCACGTAGCAAGACATGCTGGACAGGAAGTGCTATTGTTTGCATTGCCATCCGAGCCTCGACAAGCTTTGCCCCCCCTCCTCTCCTAGCCCCACCGGCATTCGAGCTGTTTCGGAGACATGAATTTCAATGCCCATGCCATCAGCCTGACCCCGTGGAGGGCTGATCAGACGGTGATAATGTGTCAAGGTAGGTCCAACCTGATAGGGAGGTCCTAATCTGTCAGGTTTGTTTTATTTGAACGTTGACGATCATTGAACAAGCCAGCCTGTTTCAAGCATCCCCCAACATAGCTTGCATAGGTGATTACTGTGTGGTTGGTTGGTCCAGTCATGATTATAATAGGGTAGCTGACCTATCCACCTTAGGCCTCCCCCCACGTTCCTGCATCGGGGGCGATGGCTACTGGAAAGAAAAGGAGGTACATGCATCCCACTCTGGGTGAAGAGGGGTAGTGATATTTGGATGGGGTCTCTCTGAAGGTTCACAAGGACACTTGCTGCACACTGTTGCTTGCCTCTTGCCTGCCCCTGGAACGAAAACACCTGGTCGTTCTGACTGTATCTGAGGCAAGTCTTGATCTCTAGTCAGTCAACGAGCAAAACCAGGTGATCGGATTTTACAAGGATAAGGATGATTCGTTCCATTGCTAACTCTTTTTTCTTAAGTATACACCAAGTTCTCCTTTGGGTGCTTCTACACAGGTGTAAGTAGAACAATTTGGTACAGAACACCCTTGGTGTAAAAAGCTGGCACCTCTCAGAGACTAGATTGTGTGCTGCTGCTCTGAAAACTACCCTTGCTATCCCGTCCCTTCAGACCCGTAGGGAGCCTACAAAGAGATTGAGCGATTGGGTGGGTTGAGGCTGTGGGCTGGAGTGACAGAGGGGGACAAAATGTTGAGGTGACGATGGGGCACAAAATGCTGAGGTAGGAAAGAGGCATATGACTTTGAGAACAGGAATGCAAGTGCTGCCGCTGACTCTGTCTGTTGTTGTTCTGATGTTTTCTTTACTTCTATTTCTGTGTTTAATCTCCTTCCTGTACTGATAGCTGCGCTTGACGGAGTTCCCATCATTGCCACCTTTGTATCAACAAACTCCTACAGCACAGCGTGAGCTGCTCCTGGCACGTGAGTAGTCTGAAAACCTATCGTCGGTTGAAAACAATTCAGAACGTCTCCATTTACTTTTTCTTTTCTTTTTCACAAACTAAATTTCCATTAACAACAGCAAATTGAGGACGGGGAGCCCACAATTCTACCCACAATTCTACCTGCGGAGTACTGAGAGCATTACTCAGCTTAGCTTACTGTCCATCAGGGACTGAGATGCCTGACAAGCACTCCAGTGACAATCGAAACAAAGAGAACAAAAATAAATAATAAAAAAGAAGAGAGTAAAAGTCAAAAATGTGTGCTTTCAACTTTTTATTGTATTGTCCAAGGATGGTGAAGGAATACTTTTTTTCGCCCTTTTTTCTCGTGGAGGAAACTTTCAATCTTTGAGGGAATCTGACTCCCAGTGTTCTAGCCACTTAAGGGTTTAGGGTTCAAGGAGAGCTAGCTCGTGCTTAACAACTGGCTTTGACGTTGCTGAGCTTACATCAACTGTTTATTATTCTGAGAAGAATAAATGAAATATGGTAATCGCTGTAATATAATATGCAGAAATTGCAGTTTACTAGATCCACACATGACATCGACTTATTACAATGACAACACTTTGTTTATCGCCGAATAAGAATATTGAAAGAACAGCTTTCATGCTCCTCCCTGACAGGAGAATGATGGATTCAAAGAACTGCTTATTGGCAGGTGGTAGAAGGTACCCCCGTTCTTGTTCCTTTTGTGTGTGTGTGTCTGTTTTTAAATTTCACCAGCGTGTTGTGGATTTTTCCCACCACAGCTCCTGTTCCACGTGTGTGTGTGTGTGTGTGTGTGTGTGTGTGTGTTACTAGGAGGCCTGATGATGATGATGATGATGATGATGATGATGGTGACAGTGATGATATTGAGTCATAGGATAAACAACGAGCTCAGCGATTTCCGAAGAGAAAAGTGTGTAGCCGAACTGCTAGGGAAAGTTTTGAATCCTGGAAAAGAAAAAAGGACGGATGTTTAATGCTCTGGGAAAAGGAGGAGCTCTTGGAGTTCCGATTGTGGCCAAATGGAATGAATGTGGAAGAGCAAGGGGAGTGTGCGAGAAAGAGGGAAACCAATTTACTGTAGTAGTGGGACTAAGGGCCAAGCTGCATCGGCTCTTGTTTGTGCTAAGAACCAAACTACCATCGTAGTGAAAGGATTTTATGCTGTTTCAGTTTCCGAGTCCTGGTCCCAGAGTCGCATTTGGTCTCCAAGTCCCATAGGTTGCGGCTAGTCCCAGTCCCAAGGGTCCCGGTAGGTCCCACTCCCAAGGGTCGTAGAGGTCTGTAGGAGTCCGGTAGGGTCCGGTAGCCGAGGAGTCGTACGTCGGCTGATACCGGATAGAAAAAGTCCAGAGTCCCCATAGTCCAACTTTGCAGCAGCATCCTGGGAAAGTCCGGTGACTTCCGGAACTAGAAATGGCAGCCGACAGGCCGCGGGGACCGATACCAGTCCGAAACAGAAAAAAACACCAAATGCATAAAGAATCTCTCGTATTTCCAAGTGGTGTAGAACGAAGCCCATACGCACACAAGCTCTTGCTTGCATGTTTTCATTCCTCATATTGGACATTACAGGGATGCTGGACCCGATTTCCAGCAGGTGCTGCTCCCCACCAATAGATGGAGCCTCCCCAAAGGTGCTGGTGGTGTCTGCTCCTATCAGCACCTCCAGCAACCGCTCGGGTTGTTAAAAAAAAAAAAAGTCCAAAATGTTTCCACATCGCAGACTTGTAGGGTCCGCCCTAACTTCTCATTTGCGCCCCAGCCAAAATGATGAAAATCTGTAGGGCGCCTCGGAAGGTCGCTAGACAAGTTAGGGCTGGACCCTAGACGCTATGGTACCTTTTCGGGTCAGTTGCCAATTCGTATGATGCTGAAGCTCTGGTGTACCGCTTGTGCGACCCAGCGAGTTGGACAGTTGAGGCAATCAAGGAAGGAGAAGAGCAATCGGCGCCATAGCTAGGGTTGTTGGGATAGAAGACGGCGGCCATAGCTGTAGAGCTAGGATAGAGAGAGGGAGAGAGTGAGGGAGAAGTGAGTGTATTCAGGGAAGGCGAGAGAGTGAGCGATCCAAGGTTTGATTGCGAAAGGGAGAGAAAGAGAGCCAGCAGTGAGGTTGAGTGCCTGAAGTCATGAATGTGTGCGTGTGTGTGTGTGTGTGTGTGTGTGTGTGTGTTT